ATATGGGTTTGCCCCCAGATTTCAGGGTTCAAACAACTTCAAGTCATACTTTCACATCCTCATTTGAGGACAGTTCTGCAGAGGACTAGAGCAATTCAACAAAATATTTTTGCTTCTGAACAGACATTTAGAAAGTTTGTTCTGCCAGATCACTTAGCCTTATTTGATTGAAGTAAGGTGGGGGAGGGGGGGGAGTGTCCCTGAACCAAACATTTTCCAAAGTAATCTAAAAGCCAAGTAGAAATAGTTTTAAAGTTTTCACAAAGTTCAGTATCAGTGGGAATACAGCAAGAAGAATAAAGATCATTACAACTTTAACATTCTGAACCCTTGGTATAAGTGATGTCTAAAACTCTGCACAGATTGTAGTTCCATGACCTCTTTGTTGGTCTCCCTAATAAAACATATACAGACTGGAACAAGTTTAAAAATGTAATGGTTTCCCTGGGCAGAAATTCCAAAAATTGATATACAGTATTAAATGTTACAACAATATAATATTTAACTAAAGGAAGAACACACACACATTCTTAGGATTGGTTTTCAAAAATCATCAGAGGGAGTTACAAACCATGGGCAATTTTGAATTTGGGATGGGCTGAATTGCACACCTTTTTATACACACTGATCCAATAGAGTCTACCAGTGATGTAATCCAGAGTCAATCCCACAGGCTCTTCGGTGATTAGTACCACAAGCACATGTCTGTCTGATCCATCCATACCTGCAGCTTCTATTACAGTCCTGTCCTTTTCACCACGATTCACCCAATACATGTATCTGTGATAAGACAGAAAACCAGAGCTGTTCTATGTGGCATGCCAAAATGCTTCAAGAGTCTTGAAGAGTCTTGAAATATGACTCTTCAATCCATAGTCATCCGTTTGTTCCCACACATGAAGAGTTTAAGCACTCTTAGATCAGGATCTTCTCAGGAGCTGAGCAATACTATGTAATGCTGTATTATATCACAGGTGCCAAAAGTTATAAGAAGCAGGTTAAACATTTATCAAATTTCTAGGCCTAAAAACTTGTGAGATTTCATTACAGGAAGGTCTGGGGTTCTGGCGCTAAAGTCTTTTGGAATTTCTGGAGAGAACAGTGAAATCTTATTAGATTTGGTGACCTCCTGAAATGTTGGGCACTTTTTAATAAATAATGTGGGTTTTGGAGATGTTATTTGGGCATGCTGCAAATAACGTGGTGCTCATAGGCATCATGTATGCATGAAATTATATCACTATTTCAACACAGTAATCACAGTATTGCCTATTCTGGAACTCGTACCTTTTTTCTGGAAATGTAATCAGCTGCTCCGGCACCAGATTTTTCTCTAGGATCTTTACATAACCCCTACCATCATTCAAACCAGCAAAGATGGCATGAGGAAAATTGCTGGCCCAGTATAACTGCCCTGTGAACCAGTCTACGGACATGCTGTTGACACCACTGACATCTATAGGCAAAATTAGAGAAGTTCAATATGGCTATACACAGGCACCGGGGAAATAAATCAGTGAGCTTTTTTCCTGTAAATAGACTACTTGTAACTCACAGGGGAACAATTTCTCTAGAAACAGTATTCTGTAAGACAGCTGTTTATATAACTTCTCTCTGGAGCATAAGAGGTCCCTGTGTTGTGTTTTGTTTGCTACTTCACCCTCCTGCAAATTCCATTTAATTCACAGTAATGGAATATATTCTATTGAATGGTCACCCATAAAATTATCAGTTTTCTTTCATCACTGATCTTCCCCTGCTATACAGAAAATACAGAAATTGTTGTATTTTTATGGGTTCTAATCATATAAAGTACTTTTTACCCAAGAATTTGGAATTTGCTGAAATTAGATATAATGGTGGCCACCAGTTTAGACCATTTTGAAGGGGCCTGGACAAATTCATAGTGGATTGGGCTGATGATGATACTAAAAGGAGCCCCACACAACACTATGTGACAGCTCAAACTGAAGCAGATGGGTAAAAAGTAATCTTGACAGGTCAAGGTTCGTTCGGGATTCAACTCAGAGAAAATTAGGGTTCACATAGAACAACTGAAGTTTAATTGTGTTTCTGCTGAAGTATAGAGGCAAACATTGAGTGCAAATAGAAGAGTTAGTCTTTGACCCCGGATTTACCTGTAGTAAACAACTTTACCTGGATAAAGAATCATCTCATTTTTTCCAGACGCATAAATATACAGTTTTTTCTCTTCACCAATCCCATAATAGCTTCTCCTTAAGAGGTCATAAGCAACAGAGTTAGGCTTTGTTTTTGTAGGTACTAGAATCTCCACGCTGTGTGTTTTTAAATCCAGGAGAACAAGATCTTGAGGGACAGCCAGTAGTATTTTGGTAGCACCATCTGAAAGAAAATTTTAGTTACCTTTGCTCTATGACACAGTCTAACTCAGTCTTCCCAACTTGAAGCCCTCCTGATGTGCTGGCATTGCACCTCCCAGAATTCCTAGCCAGCGTGACAATATATATATAGCATTTAATTGTGCCTCAATTCTATGAAATTATTTAATTCTGACTCTAGTGAAACTAAGAGATCTTTTTTTTTTTCCAGCCATTAGACCCATTGCGTGCCAACTGTACCCTGAAAGCTTACCTACAACATTGCAAATGGTTCCATTGGACAGTTTGTATCCTTCAACACAGTCACAAGTAAAAGAACCTAATGTGTTCTTGCACAATTGGTTACAAGGACTGTATGCTGCTGCACACTCGTCAATATCTGCAAAGTACAGAACAAATACTCTTTTGGAAGTTGCTATAAATTCTAAGGCAGCTACATCAATGATTTGATCATTTATAGACAACATTAGGTGTTCACAATAAGCCTTTGGACTCTCATGCTGTTGCTATTGGCATAGTTTAATTGCCCAGTAAATTAGGAAATGTAGTTTCTATGATTTGGTAATTTCCCATTTCCCTGTTTTGAAAGTTCAGATCTCTCAACTATCCAAGACTCTTGCATCAGCTAAAGTGGTCAGCTCCTCCTCTTACATATACTGGTTACATCTTGCAATTGAAAGTATCTTCTAATCTGGCTCAGGGATTGCCCCTTTGCATTCATACCTGTACAGTTCTGACCATCAGCAAGAAGTTCCCAGCCAGAAGCACACGAACACTTGACACCCCAAAATGTCTCTGTACATTTCTCCATGCAGCCTCCATTATTCAGAGAGCATTTTTTGCCTAGAAAAATAGAGGTAAGAATTAGCCCCCCCGTTCAGCTTTTGCTTAGTGGAAGACCATGTTAACAGATCATGCTGTTAGGGTTTATTACCACAAGAAAGGGGTTCATCGGTGCCATCCAAGCAGTCTGTACCTCCATCACATACTAGAGATTCCAAAATGCATTTCTCTTTATCACAATGGAACATTCTTTCTGGGCAGTTAACTGTATTCCAAAAATAAAAGGATTACATATGGTTCATGCTGATTGCAAGTCAATCTGTTACCAACGTAATTTCATACAGAATTGTACTGAAGACCATGACCTGTTTTCCCAATGTGAGACTCACACAATATGTTCTAAACATAAGCATATTCCAGTTGAACATTAGGACAAATGTCATGAACATTTTGAATGAATGGAACCAATTATTTGGCGAAGTGGCAGACTTCCCTCCACTATGAATGTTTAGTCAGAGGCTAGATGGCCACCTTTCAGGTGTACTTGAATTTGAATTCCTGCACTGAGCAGAGAATGGGACTTGATAGACTCAAATGCTCCCCTTCTGGCTTTGTGACTGTTGCTTACTAAGTGCAAAACAACTCTACTGCCCCTGGTACCATTCCCATGTGTTCAGAATGCACCTCCCAGAAGCCCCATGTTAGCTGGTTCTCATTCATTAGTCATTTTCAATCTAATTATCTATAGCATCTTCTGGAGTCATCCAATCATCGTTGCACCAAACTAACAGTAATGAGAACAGTCTTATGTCAGTTCAATGAGGGCTAGGTAATGCAATGGAAATGCTTTAAGCCACCAGTGGAAAAATAGCCTAAAACTTCCATTAGCTTCCAAGTTGAAAGTGATACAACTGGGTTTCTAATTCCTTGGCATAGGCATTTACAGGTGAAACTCGAAAAATTAGAATATCATGCAAATGTTCATTTATGTCAGTACAGCAA